GAACATAGCCATTGTGTTGGGTTTTGAAAAACTGCGGCATGCTGGGAGCACTCACTTCAACAGCTTTACAAAACACTCTCTTTCACACACACACACACACACACACACATGCAAACACACAATTATAACTGCACATTTAAACGTGCACACATACACACCCAAAGAAATTTAAACAGAGAAAACAAAACATTTAAATTTGCAAAGAAATAAAACAAAAAAGCAAAATTGTCTTACATGTCTATTGTCCCAGTGTTAATTCTATCATCTGTTTTATGCTCTAATGGTAGACTGATTGATATGAGTTATGTTTGGAGTGGAATATTAGCTTACTGCTGCACAGTTTGTGTAGTATGTGAAACAGCATCCATTATGCAACGATAAATGTTTCAGACAGTAAGCCTAGTATGCTACATAGTTGCTACATAACTCAAGTAATGTCTAGTAAGCGAGTAATATTTTGGAAATAATATGCATTTTTGGTATTCCAATCAAATAATGGATCAAAAATGATTTAATAATTAGTTCATTAATCAAACTGGAAAATTAGTGCTGCAGGATGACATATTTTTTGTAGATGAAAACCTGGAAATGAGTTAGCATTTTAGCACTTCTGATTCCACTTCCTGAGTCATTGGGTTTTTGGTTAAATACATGAAATAAGGTTTTGGGTTGACGAGATCAAGATATTTTTATATACACCAATTCCCTTTCGAGGGAACTTGCAATGCGTCAATGATGCTGTGTGAACGCCCCTGCATGAATGCGTCTGAGCACTTGTGTCAACTAGTCCAATGGCGAGAAAGAGCGTCACAGGCGGGTAACTTCATGACCAGGAAAGGATAAAAGCACATCCAAAATCACCCCGGATCAGCTTCTGTGCCGTTCTGTGTTACTTTGTCTGTCATTTATTGTTGTCTGTCACGTTGCACAAGCAGTCAATTTATATGAAATGGCATCCAAACAAGTGTTCAAGCAGTGTGTTCCTCCTTGCCCTTGTTTCCTTATGGGTGGGGATACACACAAGCTTTGTGCCATTTATTTGGGAGCGGAGCATGCGGTGTCAGCCTTTGAGGGGGCTGACTGCGAGCATTATGAAAGGCTGGCGCTTCACACCCTCCGCTCTCGCCTGTCACTCTTTGAGGAGGGTGTTTAGGTGAGCGTTCCCTTCGGCTCAGGCCCCGCTGCTGCCGAGGCAGCACGGAAGCTCCTATCGTGGGGATCGCAAATGGATCTCACGGCGGGGTTTGAGACAGGCCCCGCCCTTTCTCAGCCTTTACCCGTGAGATCTAGCCTAGAAATCTAGATGCACCCTAGTGGCAGCAAAAATTATTTCGCAGCCAGTGTGGTCTAGGAACTCTCCATAGACATTTTAGCTGGAAAAACCAAACTCTGGTCAGGCCAATCACATCGTGTATAGAGTCGGTGGGTGGGCTTAATATAATGACGACAGAGTTGCGATGGTTCACTGCTACTTGAAAACAAAGAATGGCTGCTGCTGGCGAACATCTGTCTTTCGATTTCGCTTTGACCGCTACTCTGGATGATTTGAACTTAAGCTTTTCTTTGAAACCAGAACTTGAAAGACAACCATATATCCCGCCCCTCAAATTGAGCCCTGTCAATGATGAGTTCCCAGACCTAACATCTTGATGTAGGTCTGGCATGCCAGGCTATGTGAGATCCAGTGCTCTCTCTCCGGAGTCGGAAGCCCGCGCTGCAGTTCCTTCTGCTTCAGGAGAGGACTTCAAGGATGATGCCGGGGATAAATAATTGGCAAGCGGCTGTTTCGCTGGCGGCATCGTACTATAACCATATTCTTTCACCCCCTAATATCAGAATAAACGTGGTCTTGAGGGCTGAAAACACTGGAAGAAAATAGTTTATTCTGCGATCTTGATAGCTCTTTATGTAGATCGTAGAAAAAGGGAAGTCCCCTTGGTAAAAGCATTTACGGCAGCAGGTCAGGCCGGGGCATGCTTGCACACTATGGCCATTCTGCAAGCATACCAGGCTGACCTGCTGAGGGACCTGGAGACGAGCGAGGGGGCGGGGCCCGATGTAGTTCAAGAATTAAGTCGGGCCACCGATCTAGCTCTCAGAGCCACAAAAGAGACAGCACGTGCTATTGGGAGGTCGAAGGCAGCGAATGTGGCTACTGAGAGGCATCTTTGGTTGAATTTATCAGATATTAAGGATAAAGATAATTTTTTCCTTTTGGACGCCCCGCTTTCGCCTTCTGGCCTCTTCGGCGAGTCTGTGAACACCCTTGTCAAGAGGTTTCAGGAGGCTAAAAAGCAGGCGGATGCGTTCAAACGATATCCCCCTCACCGTCAACAGGTCTGGGGCTGCTGGCCGTAGGCAGCCCCTGTCGGTTAGCTCCTCGTACTAAGCGCAACAGAATTAGTGTGTTGCTTCGCGTGCTCCACCCCAAAAACCGTGGGGCGTGGGGCGACAGTCTCAGCTGAAGTCTTCTAAGCAGCAGGCCGATCTGAGGACCGCTCTGTTAGCGAAGATGTGTTCGGCAAAGAAGTGGTCCTGACGCCCATGCATCAGACTTCTGAAGGCAGCCACCTCCGGGATGGGGCAGTGTTCACCTCATCTTACGTCGTAATTACTAATTGTCCCGTACTAATGTCCCATACCGGTGCCCTCAGCATACCGTCCTGCCAACTCTGACACCCTCAGCGCTTCGGTGCTCTGAGCAGCGGTATCCAGAGAATTCCAGAGCCAACCTCTCTGCTACGACGTGGCGTCAGGTTCGCACCCTCTGAGGAGGGTCGAAAGTCAGTCAGTTCCAATATCTCCTGCCAGTATGCTTCAGGCCACCGAAGTGACAACTGTTTTTACACCAAAGGCCAGCCTCGAGAGGCTGGATCCCTTAGTAGAATATTTATCGGTATGGAAGATTCTGCCAAATATATCTCAATGGGTCCTGCATATAGTTGAGAAAGGGTACAGAATCCAGTTCGGTTCTCGTCCACCACGTTTCATCTGGGTTTTACTCACAGTGGTACACCCAGAGCAGGCTCTGGTGATGGAGCAAGAAGTGAAAACTCTGTTCGCGAAGGGAGCTATAAAGGAGGTTTCTCCAGGTACTTCTTTGTTCGAAAAAGGATGGGGGGTTGCGTCCCATTTTAGATCTTCGTCTTCTCTATCGCTCAGTCATGAAGTTGAAGTTCAAGATGCTGACATTGAAACAGAGAGTGACCCAAATCAGATTCAAGGACTGGTTTGTCACAATAGATCTCAAAGATGCATACTTCCATGTCTCCATCCTTCCTCAGCACAGCCGTAAAAGAGTTAAGGCTAGGCCAGTCGCTCACTGTAAAACAGTTTCAGAGACTGCGGGGTCTGATGGCAGCTGCGTCCAACATTATTCCGTTCGGCCTGTTGTACATGAGGCCCTTACAGTGGTGGCTCAAGACCAAAGGGTTTTCCCGCAAGGGGGATCCCACTTCGTATGAAAGGGAACGTCTTAGGTTACGACTGTAACCATAGTTCCCTGAGATAGGGAACGAGACGATGCACCACTTTGCCATACCTCCTTCATCCCTGAGATCGACTGCTTTGGCTTTCTGTTGAAGCTGACGCGGGGTGATTCCAGATGTGTTTTTATCCTTTCCTGGTCATGAAGTTACCGCCCGTGACGCTCATTCTCGCCATTGGACTAGTTGACAGAAGTGCTCAGAGGCATACACGCAGGGGCGTTCCCACAGTGTCATTGATGCATCATGAGTTCCCTATCTCAGGGAACTATGGTTACAGTGATGTTTTACCCCACTTTTGATTTTAAAGTTTTTACTTTAAAAGGAAGTTGCTAACAAGTGGTCAAAAGGGACTAAGGAGGTTGTCGGGGACATAAACGTTGTCTACTCACTAGTTCACTTTCACAGCCTTGCTGTGTTTACAATCGAATTCCTGCAAGTAACTTAATAGAGAATTTATTTATTTATTTATTTATAAAGACTGAAAGAGTTTGAGAAGCTTAATGGTTGTGACATTAAAGACATGCAACCATGGTGTAGCTTGTTTATAGCCTACATTTAGCTTTTTATTTCTGGCGATTGTATTAAGACTTTAAAGGGATAGTTCATCCAAAAATCCGAGTGATTACAATGGCTCAATCTTAAGTTTATCAAGCGACGAGAATACTTTTTGTGCGCAAAAAACAAACACCCAAAATAACGACTTTATTCAACTATTCATTTCTTTCTTCGTGGGCCTCCAAGATTTCACATAGTGTAATTGTGCAACGGTTTTGTGTTGTACATCTCAAGGCTCCCTATTGGCCGACGCTGGTCATGTGTGTGATGCGTGTAACATACAACCTAGAAGCTTTGCGCAGTTTCACTACGTGATATCTCGAGGTCCACAGAGAAGGAAATGAATAGTTAAAGTCGATATTTTTGATTGTTTTTTTTTGCGCATAAAAGTATTCTTGTCGCTTGATAAACTTGAGGTTAAGCCAATGTAGTCACTCTGACTATTTTAACGATGTCTTTAATAACTTTTGGGCCGGCCAGTTTCGATCCCTTAAAGTCCCCGTGAACCGGAAGTTGCAAACGATTTTTCTCCAGTGCAGTGACGTATTTCCAAGTGAAACGGAATATTGAACAGAGGGCAGGGTTTTACTCTAGCGCTCCTCCTCTCCATCTCTCGCTCATAGCAAACTAACGGTTTGAGGGGAGTGGTTAAGCGTTTCCCCACCCAAGTTGTGAAACCTACGTCATCAGAAAAAGAAACCGTTCCAGACCAGAAGTAACTTTTCAGATTTTGATTAAAGATTACCAAGGTAAAACATTTTTTAAATATATTTTTACTTGCACGGATTAATTGTTCACCACAAGACTAGTACTATGCGCTAACAAAGTAAATAGGTTCAATTTTGATTTCACAGGGACTTTAAGAAGCCTATGGAGGAGTGATCCAGCTCTCAGATTTAATACAAAATATCTTAATTTGTATTCCAAAGATGAACAAAAGTCTTACGGGGTTGGGACAACACGAGGGAGAGTAATTACTGACAGAATTTTCATTTTTGGGTGAACTAACCCTTTAAAATTAATAAAAGCTGTTAATTTGAGAAGATTGTCATAATGAACAAAACATGTAAGAATCATAAACTTTTATTGGTCACGCAACTTGTTTTCAGCACTAACCCAAAAGAAGAGGGAACAAAATCCTATTGGCGTGTTGTTGAAGCAGGGTGATGCTAACTTCTGGGTTGACCTACAGAAATACATCATCACTGTAGCACTCTATGGTACTGTAGGTTATGTCGGAAGCATTGCATTATTGGATATTGCATTTTATTCAACACACTCTGGTTGTATGCTGAACACTTTTTCAATTGTAGTGTGTCATCTATGCATACGGAGAATTCACAGTACATACATGCAGTACTATATACTGTAGAGATCCACTTCCATGAGCTTAGGTATGTGGGCACATGGCCTGATGGAGCCATAAACACACACAATACATCACAGCTGAGCAACAATCGCAGGCATCGGAACAGATACACTCACACATCAAATTCAGCTCACACACACTACAAAACCAGACATAGACAAGGACATAGTCTTTTATAAAATAATAATAATAATAAAAAAAACAAAGAAACAACATGCAATTAAAAAATAACATGCATGTTATTTATATCACCATTTTGCCAAAATTGGCAATTTATTTTACCTAGACAAAATTACATTGTATTGAAAGACAGATCTGCATATCTTTTCAAGGCGATGTAGAACATAAAAAACGTTCAATTGCATAAACAAACGGATTTTTATTTGGTAATTTTTTTGTTTTGTTTTGTTTTACCAGAAACCACTTTTGTAACAAGAATCACAATGTGAGATGCTGGCAAGCGAAGAGAGAGAGGGCGTATTCGGTAAATATGTTCGTAAGTAAACGTTGTCACATTGCCTGGCACCAGGTAGAGATCTGCTTCACAGCGGGATGATAGCTGCCACGCACAGAGATGCAGACAAGTAGACAAGCAGAGAACAGGAACAGCCCCTTCATCTGCATAGTAAACAATCCAACCGCACGAGTGCTCCATTCAGAACTATAATAGGACACAGATGAAAGAGCGCGTCTGCAGGCCATGCTGGGAAGGATTTGTGTTTAATGGATATTTTCAAAGTTTTTTCTCATCTACACACTTGAGTTTACTGTGTATCAGAGAACACTGTAATCCATTGATTTAAAACTTGATGATCCGGCACTTGGATATAGCGAGGGTTCTCCTTCATATGACCTTCACTTTGAACTCTTTCAGCAGTGTACTCTGGAACAGACTTTTTCTTTTGACCATTGAGAAGGCAGGTGGGTCCATCCACGAAATATCATCAGAGCTTTCTCTGGTACCGTGGTTCTCAAACTTTTAAATGTGGCAAACCACCATTTTTTTTTCTAATGCCAGGTTGCTATTTTGTTCCATTCATAACTACTTTTAGCCAATTAACTAACCCAACTTTTTTTTTTTTAAGTACCCAATCAGTACAGTTTGAGAACTACTGCTCTAGTGAGTAAACACAATCAGCAGGATGGAAAAAAACAGGATAATAGAGGTCTCAGGCAGGGTCATGTGACTGAGAAGAACCTCTTTGGTGCAGAGTAGAGCTGCCAACTCCTGGTTCCAAAGGCCCACTCGGAGATCAGGTTTTGATCTCAAATAAACACTGAATCCGCTCCCTGGTTTATTACAGCAATGAAAATCTGAAGTGGCCAGTCCATGCATGGAGTCAATGAAGCCAGACATCCAAGGCAACAGAACAGTCGTACATGAATGCCTGTGTTCACATTTGTGCTGCAGTTGCGCAAAGACGTTTGTTTACCACTCTCAAGCATTTATGTGCTTTTGTGGGTAGGGTATGCGATTCTCCAGTGGGCATTTATGGTCAGGCACGGCTAAGGCCACTCATGGTGATAACGTTTGCCATTCTTTTTCCGCTCTTTCTGCAGGTGCTCCAGTTCCGCCTCATACACCATCTCTTGCATTAGGTATTTCTCCCTGCGCATGCGATCACTCAGGTCTTTGGGCATGTCTGGAATCATGTGGGCTATGAAGGTCTTAATGCCAAAAACAAGGTGCTATGGAGAGTACAACAGACAATAAAAATGCATAAATATTAAATATTATATTGCAGTATTGAGTAACTAACGACAACTAAATCAGCCTTTTTTTTGCCAACTATTTTATGAATACTGTGCATTTTGACATACTACGCATTTGACTAATTTTTTATTTTTTTGATGAAAACATTTTGGTGCAAAAGAGACAAAGTCTGGCTCAGTGAGATTATATACTTTTGTAACTTGTTCCTCTTGGCCTACTCTGAACATGGTCTAAATTGAGGTGTGCTGTTAAGTTTGCTAATGACCACAACACGGTTGGCCTAGATTTACACTGACCATTTACACTAAACCGCATTCCCACCCGGGTCACGGCACCACTTTAACTAGTTCCTCGCAGGGCACTCCAAGAAGGGCTTAAACCAGTGATAGTCGGCATGAGGGTTGGGCAACTGTTAACCAGAATGCTAAAGACTATTTAGTGTCAGTCACCTCCTGAGTCCAGGGTGAGTGAGGTTTACCTGAATAGCTCTCTTGTACCAGATGGCTTCCATTACACTAGTCACTATTAGTAGTATTGTAACTTTATCAAAGGGAAGTTTTACTTTAACTTAACTGCTTAAAATTATGAATAAATTGTAGCTTTGCAAGCTAAACTTTCAAAGTAGCTTCCCAAAACTATTTGCGAATGCTATAAAACATTACTTAAATAAGATTACAAAAACGTGAAGTAGCACTGACCTCAAAGACGATGATGAAGGCTAGTCTGGCAGCCAAAACATGCCAGAACTGCAGGGTGAAATCATAGGGTTCAGGACTCCACGGCGGTGCTCTGTAATCTCGATATCTGTTGAGGGAAATAACAAAACTTGAGCTCCAATAAAATGACAAAAACCCCAAATTGAATAACATTTGACAACGTAAAACTAGTAAGAGTGTTACAGTACCTGCAGTACTGATTATGGTAACTTCCATTTTTCAATTCATTCATGTCAAAAACAGACAAGCTGTTGTTCAAATATCCTCTTAGACATCTGTGTAAACAAAGGGAAAACACAAATATATAGCATTACCAATACAAAGCTTCATTTAAAGATTTTGAATGCAACCTCTAAGTCGCCCGGAGAGCAAGGTCAGTGGCAGCACGCAGTTCATTAAAAGCCCCTGGGTCAGTCCCACCCTCAGCAGCTTTGCTTGAAATACCTGCAAGGTGCTCATGGCGTGCAGGGCAGCGGCCGCCTGTCCCGCAGCTCTATAAGATCTCGCCGCAATTGACGATGAGAACCTACAGGCTTTGGAGGGGTGCTTAGGAACACCGCGAGAGGACGCGCTCTGAGGACACAGTTGCATCGCAACAGAGCGCTCCACCGGGGTATCCCAGCGTATCCCAGCGTACCCACGGGCAGCCGCGCCGTTGACGGGAGGAAAGGCGGGGGAGACTGACGAGCGCTCACGGGAGGTCAAAGGAGCCTTCCAGGTCTTGGTCAGTTCCCCATGCAGTTCGGCAAAGAATGGGATTGGGGTCGGCTGCGTCCGTGAGGCAGCAGCCTTGCCCAAAAAACAATCATCCATCCGCGAGCGATCAGGACAGGGCGGAGGGTTCCACTCTAGCCCAATGCTCACGGCGGCCCAAGACAGCATCAGGCACGGGCAACGCTGGTGCTCCCGAGGGAGGCAACGCAGCCGCATCCTTACTTCCCGGGGAGTCTAGCCCACCTCAACATCGACTCATCCTCCGGAGCACCGAACGAAACAGACGGTACCTCAGAGGCACTTGTCTGAAACGCTTCAGTGCTCACGGGTTGCAACACTGCTGCGGGTGGTGTGGCCCGAGGAACAAGCGTTGGGGCTTTATTCCACACCATGACCGTCAGATCACCCGGTCCGCGAGCCGAAGAGCTCCCCCTAGTAGAGGAAGCAGAAAGGGTAGCGGACGCGGGGACTCTCCCAGTAAGATCATTGAGTCTTAATCTTAGTGTTGCGATTGTCATGTTCCCACAAAAAGAACATGAGTCATCCACGAACGCTGCTTCTGCGTGCTCAACGCCCAGACACACAAAACAGAGCTCGTGCCCATCAGAGGAAGATAGGAATCAACCGCACCCAGAAGAACACGGGCGAACCATCTTTAAAAAGACGTGCCACGTGCAGCTCTTTCAGAAAGAGAGGAGGAAATTCACTCTTTCAGCGCTGAGGCGACCAGGGAGAAGCGCAAAGTTTGGCAGACCACTGCTCAGATCGCAGGCGATGCAGAATCTCGCTGGGTACCGCCGTCACACCAACACTGAAGAGGACGCTCGTCTCGAAGAGTCTCTTGACTCTTGGCTCCGAAGCGAAAACATACTGCGGTTGCGTCCGCTTCCTCCTTTTATACCCACGAGGTGGGGCGGAGATACGCTATGCAAATTCCGCAGACCCAAGGCATTTTCATGCCATCGGCTCGTTTTTAAATACTCGAAGAGGATTGGCTTTCTATGTGAAACCCCCATTCTCCGTCATCCGACGTAACTCGGAGTGAATACGAAAGGGAACTTAATTTGTATTTGTTTTTCAGAAAACAAGTCATAATATCTTATGCCATATCTTGTAGTATTTACATCTAGTAAATGAATCTTGACTGGAAATGTGACAAACTTTTTTTTTTTTTTTTTTTTTTTTTTTTGCAGTGCACCCATCTCCACCAGAGTGGCTAACAAAATGAATCCGCTCAGCTTTACAATAAACATGCCACATTTTTTTATTTTTTTTTTTGCCCTGTAATTGCTGGAAATTTGGAAATTTTCGTACTTCTCATGCCGGTAACCCTTGTCCACACAGGGCCCATATTTGAATGCATAGACGAAGCGAGGGATGTAATCTGAAGTGATGGCAATGACAAAGGCGTTTGTTATGACAGCCACAACACCAATTCCCTCCAGGATTCCATGCCAGATACCTAATTAAACAAACAAACAGACAAAATTACCAATCTTTCAAAACATATATATTGAAATATACCAGGACAGATAATACATATATCTGTAAAATATTCTGCTATATTAATGTATCAGCTATTAAGCATTAATTTATTCTGTATAATGTAAAAATTGGTGTTAACAATCAAAATTGACAAATGACAATATACTAAATGTAATTATAACAAATGACTCTTGTGTTTCTTGTCTTTAGGTTGGAATAAACTGACATCAAGCTAATTGAGGTGAAAAGGGCTGACCGATGTCAGTAGCGCGGGCGGGCATCGGTCTCCTCCACTGCGTGACAAACTTGTAGGCGTCTAATCGGATCTCAATGATGTTATTGAGCAGAGCCAGGAGAGGAGCCAGAGGAAACGCCGCCACAAATATTGTAGTGAAACCAAACTGCAGAACTGTACAGAAAACAGATGAAATAAACATCCCATTTAGGCAACAAGCAAATTATTTGCCGAATTAAAACACTCAATATAATTAAGCATTTACCCTTTTGTGGTTAAGCCAGTCTAAAAATGGTTCCTTAGGGCAGAAACATACTTTATGAAAATGTGCAAAATCTGACCAGCCCGTTCTTATCCCAAGGCGTCATATAGTAACACTTTTGACAATGCGTAGACATCCAACGCACATGGCACCCTTTAGCGTCAATATGTGACGCAGATATATATCGGCCAGAAGGCGCCTCCTAGTGGTCTAACCCTAACCCTACCCCAGACCTAAACCTACCCATAACTGAAGCGTGTTATATTGACGCTAAAGGGTGCCATGTGCGTTGCTGTAAACCCTAACGGTCAAAATAATTAATTGGTTTGAGTTGGACAAACTTAAATTCAACGAATGAGTTCAGTCAAATTAATTTTTATGAGTATTTAGCACTTTCTTTTTCTTTCAAATTCACAGAACTGATACATTTTATGTAAACTGAACTGTTTGATTGTTTTGAGTTTTATGAAATTCTTTATTTTAATTTAGACGAACTTAAGTTTAACTGAAACGGCTGGGATATCTATTTCCCAGCATGCTTTGCCGATGGCACTCGAAAGAGATTGTAAATGCCAAAATTAAGTGCAATATAATGTTTTTTTGTGTGTGTAAGATTAATGTTAAGTGTGAGATTTAATAGTGATTAATGTTTTGTTATGCTAATTTAGAAGAATTTCTGTTAATGTTGGCTTTAAGATAGTTACCATCATGCTGACAAGTGGTGCATTCAGCGTGAGTTGAGAGCAAATTAACCCTTTATATTATTACGCTCATACAGCAAGTGCTTCTGTGCTTTACTTTGTCAGCAGATTAGCTTTTAAAGCTACCTAAGTTTATATAATTAGAAATGATTTGAGTTCTGCCAACTTATTTGGGTTTACAGTGTACTTCTTAGATTTAAGTTATAGTAACTAATTAGTACTATTAACTTTATTTACCCAAGTTATCTTAACAATAAGTTATTGAGTTACTTGGAAACAAATCAAATATTTTTTTATGCTTAAATTGTTTGAGTTAATAAACTGAGTTAAAAAGGCAATCAGTTTCCTCAAACGGTTTGAGTTGAACTAACTCATCAGGTTTTACAGTGATATGACACCCTAGGATGAGAATCCGTTGAACTGACGCAATTGCTTGGCAAATGCTTTGCAGTAATGCGTTCCTGTTGAAAATTCTTGACAGTCTGTTCTAGTGTATCCTGTAATCATAACAAACCTCAGTTCTCAAATGGACAATAGAGTCAAACACCTGTGCTATTAAATCAGATGTGTTATTCATTTTAACTAACTTCCTTGATGTGGCAAGCAGGATGTGGCCGAGAGTCGTGAGCTTCGTTCCCACAGCTCTCGGCCTCGTCCTGCTTGCAAAACATGGCAAGATTCTATTTTGCCACTTGAAAATGACCCACTTTATATCTCACTATAGGTGTTCGTCAGGCAGAACTCACCCATTTCCAGGTACTCGTCCACCAGGCCATGTGCGTTCATGGGCTGTAAGTTCCAGTCTCTATCCCATTGCGGAAGCCCTTCTTTACTGTTGTTTTGCTCACCTGCTCGTTTCATCTTACGCCGAGACCACCAGTTCTGCAACAGTCTGGTTGATGAAAAAAACAAACAAACAACAACAACATTTGATTTAATGTGATACGAAGAATGTGAAAAGTGATGAAGAGTAGTTAGGGCCATAGCTAATGGTATTCCAGTAGGAGCCAGTGTATTTTACATCATAAAAACAATGACTAATCAATGCGAGTAGAAAAAATCTGACCAAAAAATCCATTTGTGTATTGAAATGATCCTTTGTTCCACAAAAAAAAGACAACAAGGGTTTATAATGAAATAGTGAGAAGAAATGAGTGAATAATAACAGAGTTGTATATTTTCTTGTGAACAGTATTGAATGTCCCCTCATCATGTTTTCCTGATAGTCTGTTAAGTTGCCATGGCTCTTTCTGATGAAGCATGCATTTTACTCTATACTGCAGGGTTGGCAAAGTCAGTCATCATTAAACAAAGTGGACTTCAGCTAAGGACAAACTGTCCAGTGAAGCAAACATTTCCTATTTGGGATAATAATTGAGTAACAGAGACCTGTGTTTGTACACTCAATAACATTGCCAGATCTTCTGAAATAATGTATGTGTAATGTAAATAATGACAAATATAGCATGAAAACCTACTGTTTGAGGATTAGGGGATTAGTGGTTGGAAAAGAAGCAATCAAATCAAACTAAATGTCATATATGCTCCATCTGAGAGGAAAAGGGGTTTCTGTAGTAGTATCCCAGCTAACAGGGAACGTTCCCAGAACATTCACTAACATTCTTTAAAAGTTGTGTAAATGTTAGGACAAAACGTTATTAAAATATTGTTTTCAGAACGTTCATATAACGTTATTAACGTTCTTGTAACGTTGAGAGAAAACGTTCTTAGAACAACGTTCTTGGAACGTCTTTATCACGTTATTTGTATTTGATGAACGTTCTCATTACGTTGATAAAAAACGTTCTTAGAACAACGTTATCGGAACGTCTTTATCACGTTATTTGTGTTTGATAAACGTTCTCATAACGTTCCAGCAACATTATGCTAACCTTAGGATAACGTTCTAACAACATTATGCTAACGTTCCAGCAACGTTCTGCAAACATTAAGACACCGTTCCAGCAATGTTAAGCAAACTGGACATTTCCACGTTTTTAGAACATTTTAAATTAACGTTCCCACAACCAAAATGGAACGTTAGAAAAACGTTCTCAGAACCTAACTTTAACTTTGTTAGCTAGTAGTACTGTATACTTGATTGTCCTCAAAAGGAAATTTGTTTTGGACTACAGAGGAGAAACAGTTGATTTTACAAATTTAAAATTAATAAGAGACACTGTTATTCAGCATTCGTACAAATATAGGAACATAGGAATTATTATACCGATTTAGTTTGCGCAATAGGGACTATATCTTCTACCGGAGGGGAGCATTTCATACTGTGAATCCAAAAAAAATGAGTTTAGTCCCCCACGATTTTCTGATTCAGAGTGCGTTTTTAGTGCTGTCAACACCAGGTGTGCCAATTTAGATTTAAACTGTATAAATAGGTCCCAAACCATACTGTAACACCATCTTTCCTAAAACTATGCTTTCCAAAACAGCTTTGTAAAACAACATCATGATATTCTTATATTAACCCCATAAAAACATACTCTACATAAGAAATACAGTCTGTGGTGCAGCCGGGTGCAAACCAGTTCCAAGTAAGTGAGCTGTCAAGAATGCATTTGACTCCGATTGCGAGCAATTTGACATAAGCACCTTCCAACATCTAGGTGAAATATGTTATCTGTGATCTAAACAATATACAATACTGTCTGATTTATTATGTAATGATTAGGTGAGATGCCGGATAGCATCCCGTTGGTCAAATCGGCAATACAACATTTAGGTTTGTAAGCAAAGTCTTTCATAGCCCCGAGTTGCATCCCAAATTACGCACTATACAAATATGCACTTACATGCTGTACTTATGAACAATGTACTTATCCAAACAGTGTGTGAATTTCATAAGATTGTTTTGTCTTTCAACATCGGACTCTGATACAAGATACAAGACTCTGACACAAGAGTTTTTTTTCTCCATTCTGCCACCTGATGGAGTTTCGGCTCCTTGCCAATGTCGCCTTTTTGCACCTTTGTTGCCATTGGCTTGCTTATTTGGGGCTTTAAATTCAACATTTAATTTAATATTCAACAATAATACTGTATATTGATCTGCATCTGACACTATTAAACAAGAACTGAACTGAGCTGGACGATAACATCATGGTTTACTCCAGAGTGGCTATATACAGTATAAATGAATAACTTTTTTTTAAAACAAAAATGAAACATCACTGAACTTACTTCAGCTGGACTGTAATGCTATTTTCTTCTGGAAACAAACTTTTTGGCATTGTTTTCATATTATCTCTGCAAATATTATCTCTCCGTAAAAATGTATCTGTGTCTCCGTTATCTGCATTGTAAAAAATCGTTATATAAATAAATGTGCCTTGACTTGACTTAATGTTTATTTACTGTATTTAACTGAATAAATGTGTCAATATTAAGTATAATTGAAACATGTTGAATAAAATTATAATAAATAAATAGAACACAGTTTATGACTTTGACTCCCCATTTCAGAACACTGCATGCCACTGCTTTTTACTAATGGTTGTGGTTAATTTAAACTATACATTTATTCATTTAATATACACTTTTTTATGTGTCAACCAAGCTGATCCATTCTTCTTAGGTGCCACCCACCCACCAAAAAAAAAAAATATATATATATATGTAACCCTTTTATTAACCCTGGGGGTTAATTTTTTTATGTTTCCCAAAACAGAAAACCCTGAATTCCCGGCAGTCGAATGGTGAATTGGCCGGAGTTTAATTTCTTCTTTATCAAACTATTAAATAGTGCGTGATACCTCCACCAGGGAATAATAAAGCAAAATAATCTACTTATAACTTACTTCCCCTAAAATTCTATATTCCCTTTTTTTCCCCAATATAATCTAACTAATAAATCAAGACAGTAATTCTGAATAAGGAGGAAAAAAAATAATAACAATGATTTATTTGACACTATTAAGACACCTTTTTTCAGAAAAAAAAAATAAAATCAATCAATGAATAACAGCTGTGGTATCAAAGTGTAAAAATAAAAAAAATAGATTCTGTGTTGTTCAATATAAACACTTTTTTCCCTCAAACAATTCTCAATAACCTCTGAGGATTCTGAATGATCACTCAAAAAAAAAAATACACTCTCCCTTCTTATTTCAAGAGGGGAAAAAACTACACCAAATTATTATTGAAACTCACAATTTCTCCTTTGGATCAGTTTACACAATAAATGAGTTTGATCACAGTATCTTACAGAAGGAAAATAAATAAATAAAATAAAACCCCACACACACTCTTTTGGCTAGCCGTTGGGGCCCAATCGTTGGTGCACTTTCACGGGAATGGATTTAAGTTAACTCAGTACCAAAAGGATTTGTCGAGACTAATTCACTTACATTCCATCCAGGGACAAGACGAAACAGTGCAGTGATCACTTACAGGTCGAACCACGAACAGAACAGTCACGCAGCCCGGCGCGGGATGAAAGTCCAGTTCAAACGCAACGACGAAGCAGCTTGCGATGAATCTCGTCCCCCACAGTTACAAGTCATTTGGAAGTTCTTCTTGTGACAACGATACAGCTGTCAATGATGCAGTTGTCCTTAATGCGAGTTTCTCCGTCACATCGCACTGTTAATGCACTAAACAGATGACGCAATCCAACGACAGAGTGGGTTGAAATTATACTAAATACAGTAAAATAAAAATCACACTATGCAAACAAAAATCGGGTGAAAGTTATATTTGTCACTTTAGGCCTGTACTCACACAAGTAACAAAGTCTCTAAGAATGACGTTACTTTCATAAAACCGAGGACATGTGAGCAGCTCTTCGCCATGTGCGATCTCTTTCTGTCGTCTCTAAAAACGTAACTCAACGCAACTTACGTCCGTAAACTTTAAATAATCTCAATGCTGATTGGTCAACATTAATACACACTTCAGTTCAACAGAACACCTTATTTGAGTAAAGAAAATCAGTTTACATAATACAGAAACAAATAATGTTGGTACACTTTGTTACATTGCACTCAAAAATAATAAAACAAATAATCAAATGTATAAATTAATACTCTGCACTTTTCAAATTAAGGCATATTTTAAGGGGTCCCTACACACTCCCCCCACCAAAAGTCCAGTATGCCCCCATGCTGGTCATAGAAAACACCCACACCATCTAAGGGGTGACCATGTTTTTAGACAGGACTAAGACTAATTGGTACAAGTGTAGGCATATTGTTACACACATTGCATAATGCATCTGCATTGCACCACCAAGCATGAGAACTTTCGTAGCCAGTAGGAAAATACAAAGCTTTGATAGCTGCTACATTAACACTACATCGCTTGGATGCAACAATCTCAGTATGTGGAACTCCCAATGTATCATAAGTAAATCGAGTATTAGGCTTTCTCTCTCTACAAGATCTTCGTACTGCATGAGGTACCACCTCTGGCTGAACTTCAGTACCTTCATCAGTAGTAACTGGGGTCTGCAAAGCATTGTCATGCCCTACAGCCATTTCATCGGTCACATCAACCCTTTCAACATCAGCCTCATGTTGAACAGCAGAAGTTTCACTCTGACATGGAGCTATAAGTGCTTCAGAATCACCATGAGAATCACCAGACTCTGAGCATTCTACATCTTGTACAGGGGTTTCAATCTGCATCTCTGCTCTTGGAGGAATATCTGCCACATCCTCAACATAACACCCAAACTCAGACTCTGAATCAGAAGAATGGCATTCTCTTGGAAAGGAATCAACTACAAGAGGAGAATTTGCTGACTCGGCAGTTTTCCGCTTTTGCTTTGCTCTCCTACGCCTCAAAGCTCTGGGTGATGGAGTAGGTCTGATGTCTACCTGGGTACGTAGCCTGACTGCCTGCCCCAAAGGTAGGATATGATTACGATGCAGAACTTTG